AGAAAAGCAACTTTCTTATGTCGATAAAAAATACTCGTACATTTCATGATAAAATAAAATTATAGTTTAAAAAACTAAAACCTCCCTATTATAATTGCCATTCGTACTGTCATCAGGTATGTAACTTGAGAATAGAAATCGCTGCATGTTTTAGGCGCATCAATATTACATAGCTACATCCCGAGCTAATAAAAGGAAGGTAAAAATAGTAAGATAGAACCGCGAAGAGGCACTTTTAAAATTCTTGACGTTTGCAAGCAATTTATTTTTAAAACTTTAAACATAAACACACACACACACACAATTTCCTTTTCAATCTCTTGCAATAACAGTTTTGATCAATATCTTTTTTACGAGCTTTTATTAAGTTTCGCCTCTGTGCAGCAAAAAATGTGCGCCCAAAAATACAAGGAAAGATTAACGTCGAAAACCTGCAATCACAACAGACGACCAATGCATTCGCTACTCGACTCTCACACCTGTTCTCCCTTCTTTGCTATTTAAAGTCAAAGATTAAGCTCCTACAATAGGGATTTCCAGTAGAAATGTTCAACATTTAGCTATAAAGAGAATCGATGCTGAAATAATTAAAAAGCTGTAGGTCTGACCTTTAATTAGGTAAGAATTACGTAAATATCGGAGACCTTCATCATTCGTGATTCCAATAATTCAAATGCTTATAAAAAACGGGGTGCTTGTTTTTTTTTTTAAAGTGGCTTGTAAGCGCTGTTTAAACGATCTCGCCATTATGCTAGCTTCTTCATGTGAATATGAAAGTCAAGTGGATATATCCGACATTTTCAGCCGCGATGCAATTCTCATTACTTTTTATTAAATAAAATGTTAAATTTTTAAATTCAAGTACTAAAGAAAATAAACATTATTAAAAATTACTAACTTTTTCAATTTGTTATTTACCTAAATAATTTAGTTTACTTACCTGGTTATTTCTTAAAAAAAAAAATTGGCATCCGCATCCGCGGATGTCTGAAATGGGGTGCTTTCCAAAACGTCAAAATACAAAGCATCAGTCTCTTTTATTTCTAAACCACACTAGAAGAAAAAGCCTAATTTGCGCAACCTAGTAGAAAACTAGCATCATCTAGCATCTAAAATCTACTGAGGTCTAGAAATAAAAGAGACTGATTCTTTGTATTTTGACGTTTTGGAATTCACCCATGTATTATGTCTAGTATGTACCAATGGGTTTAACAATTCCAAAGTGTTTTTCAGTAAAAAAGAACTTTTCTAAAGTTATCGATAACAAATTCGAAAAAAATATAGACAGCAAAATCGATAACAGTATCCACAACCAAATCGATAAAAATTTCGATATCCAAATCGATAATAATTTCGACAAAAAATAAATAAAAATATCAATAACAAAATCTATTAAAATATCGATAACGAAATCGATAAAAACATTGACACCAAAATCGATAAAAAATATCGATAACAATAGCGATAACAAAATCGATAAAAATATCGCTAACAAAATGGATATAACTATCGAAAACAAAATCGATATACAAATCAATAACAAAATCGATAACCATATCGATAAAAATATCGTTAACAAAAACGATAAAAATATCGATAACAAAATCAATAACAATATCGATAAAGATATCGATATCAAAATCATTGACAGAATCGATAACAAAATCGATTAAAATATCGTTAACCAAATTGATAAAAATATCGATACCTAATCAAAATATATCGACAACAAAATCTATAAAAATTTTGATACAAAAATCTATAAAAAATATCGATAACAAAATCGATTAAAAATATCAATAGCAAATTGATAACAATATCGATTGCAAAATCGGTAAAAATATCGATACCCAAATCAATAACACAATCGATAAAAATATCGGTTATTATATCGGTAAGTCTCGAGAATGCCGAAAATCCCGAAAAAGTTCTCACGTTGAGTCTGTATCCTTTTCCTTATAATTACCTTTATTTTAATCTTTCTTCCTCTATCTGCATCTTTACTTTTTTCGGTATTCTCATCCTCGTCTCTTTCTTAATAATTTTCTTTTTATTTACACTTATGTTTATCATTTTCTTCATCTACATATTTATTCCCCTTCATTTTTGCATTTATCTTTACGCGCCTTTGTTTTATTTTTTCCTTTGTACGTACTCATCTTTACTTACATTCTTGTGTTGGTCTTTTTTTAAGTGTTATTCTTTAACATTTTATTAGCATTTTTTTGTTAAATTAACACCATTTGCATACATTTAAGAAGCTCTTGACTCCGTCCCAACCATTTCTGTGTGCAATTTCCGTTGAATTTGCCAATTTACTCCCAACTAGGGATGTTAATTTTTAGGCTTTTTCCGATCCCGGAATTTTCGGGATGGCGTAGTCACAATCCCGGGATCCTGGGATCATTCCTGGGATTTAGATATTCAATACTTTTCAATAACTTGAATCGAAAAAATTGCTTCTATATTCTTTGAGAAGCTCTTCTACCATGAAATAAATAATAAATAAATGGGTTTGAAACCTACTTTTTTATTTAAACTGTTATGATATGTTTTCTCATAAAATATACATATGTGCGTATACATACTATATGGCCATACTACACACATAAGTATGTATGGATGTATGTAGATTTAGAGACTCGTATAAGTATCTAAATCTAGCATCATTTCCGTGTGTAACTGAGCTTTCCTTCGTTTATACGCATAAATTATTTTTATTTTGACATTGAACTCGCACAATGTCAGCGCATTACGAGTTTGAGATACCAAAAACATCAAGCACGAACTTGAAAAGAGTGCTACCAATCGAACGCATGCAAACCCATGCATACATATATTATTTAGTTTGCTGCCATGTGTTAATACAATTAAACTTTTGTTTTTCAATCTGTGTATTGTATGTATGCACGTAAATTTGTACGTACAATCAATGTAGGCACTTATGCACTTATGACCAGTGTAACCAGATAATAAATCTATACATATAATAAAATTGTAACCGGCCGATGTCTGTACATTTTAGATATTAAAGAAAAATTAATATTGGTATCTTTATTAGAGCAATAGAAGCCAAACCAACAATTTTTAGATTTTTTGTCTATATGTTTGTACGCCCAGCACTCAAAAACTAACAGTTTAAGTAAATCGATACGATAAAGTAAATATAGCAATATGGTTGTCAAAAAAAAAAAACAAGGTTAAGATAGAGGTTTAAGAAGACTTATGGTCTGATTATGAATACTTTGCATACTTCAAATAGTAATTTCGTATGTACTTTGTATGTATTCCATTACCCAGAAATTAGCAGAACATTTAAAAACTTACCGATCTGTTGATTTTAGATTTTGCCTCACATTTTCTTAAGTTACATTTTTATTGCACTGGTACAAATGGTTGTGCGAAGTTATGCGAAGTATGCATAATCAGATCTTTAGCCGAAAATATTTTTGGAAGGGTTGCCACATGTTTGTAAATTTTAATTTAATGTCATCGATAAGATAAATTAAATATTGCAATATGGGTATCAAACTGAAGAGGTTTAGGAAAGCTTACTGCTGACTGCTACTATATTTGAGGAGGGTTGCCACCTGTTTCGGAAATTTGAAGTAAATTTATGAAATAAATGAAATATTACAATACGGGTATCAAACAACACAAAAATACTTTTTAAGGCGCAGTGGAGCACGACGGGTATTTGCTAATATACAAAAAATATAAATTGTATTCCCTACCAGAGTGTACAGAGGAAATTATGCGTTATTTACCGGATAATGATATCGTGTGAATCGGGAAAAGTTTTCTGCCAGGGTAGTTCTCATTTCACAGATACTTATGGTACACACAAGATTTTTAATGTTTAATAGCTGAAAATTTGGATTAGAATTCAACGTTCAACTTGAGAATAAGTTGGGATCAAGCACACAAATACGCAACTTTGTTTTCATACAACGTTCTAAAAAGTGTCCAAAGCAAGACTAAACTGCATGAAAGACTGCAAAATGTTAATGAAAAGTTTTTTAATTATTTTGGGCTTGTGTCGAAATTTTTAACCCTTATAGTTTGTTTTTGCCGGCCTTGTGCTTTTTTATTTAAAAATTCAAGGACACGCTAGGTTAGGTTAATCAGACCGACGTTGAGCCATATATAGACCGGCAAGTCCTTGGAGTTGCCAATTAGAGTTGAATTTTAGGCGTAAAGTAGACAACATTAAGGATGTGAACTCGAATTTATGTAGTAATTTCACCTCTTCTTTTGAGATGTATTCTAACTTCTCGACTTGATGGTCTTCTAAGCATTAAGTCCCGAATTGCCTAATCATAGTATCGTCTATTTAATTTCTAGTGGTGGAGTGGTCTTTGATAGTTTGTCTGTTCGAATGTCTGACTGGTAGTGCTCTCATCATGGAAAAACAACAATAATTTATAAAGACCGTGGAAGAGATAGCTATTTCGGAGATCACGACATCTCCTCATCAGACTTCTTCTTTGAACAAGTATCAAATGTTAGACTTGATAACTGCTGGTCATGAATAACTATAAAGAAATATAAATAAACAAATGAAAAAAATACCAATGATTACGTAAGCATAGGAGGTGAAGAGCGAGGTAGGAACTTTACCTAATTTTGCTGACAAGATGAGAGTGAAGGGTCTAATATTACTAAAACTCTGCTTACGTAATACTTAAATGGACACAAGAAACACTTGGTAAATTAATTTTTTTTGAAACGTGTGAAAAATGACTCATGAAAATACGCGATCGCCGAAACTGATTTGCCTCCAACGCAAAATAGGCATAGGTACCCTGCTGAAAGTACCTATAATAAATAATTTTTTTTACTATTACGTATCCTGTCTGTTGTGCGCGTATTGCAGTTTAATGAATTGATAGATTATTAGATGATTTTATAATTTAAGCAATGGTTTATGGTAGTCTTTACTCAAAGTTTTACGAAATTTCATCTACATAAATCTTGTTTTGATTATTTTCCCGTTATAGCACATTCTCTCCAACAGATCAGATTCAGAAGCAAAGATGCTTATAGCTGCAAAAGTAAATGGTGCTACGCCGCTGGTTATTGCCTGCCGAAATGGTCACTACAATATAGTAGAGTATTTGCTAAAGCGGCACGCCAATGTTGAACAAGTAGGATCAGTGAGTTTCGATGGAGAACCTATAGAAGATGCGCCTCCGCTGTGGTGCGCTGCAGCTGCTGGCCATTACGGTATTGTGAAGCTGTTGGTACATCATGGCGCTAATGTAAATAGTACGACGCGAACAAACTCAACGCCACTGCGAGCAGCTTGTTTTGATGGACATTTCGATATCGTCAAGTTTCTTGTAAACAATGGAGCAGGTTTGTTTTAAAGTTCTAAACGAAAACTATGTATTCCCTTAAAATAATATGTTATATATATCAGACTTTGAGGTTGCAAACCGTCATGGACATACATGTCTAATGATCGCATGCTATAAGGGACACTACAAAATCGCGCAGTATTTACTGTCTCTCAACGCTGATGTCAATAGGTGCAGTATAAAGGGAAATACGGCATTGCACGACTGCGCTGAGTCTGGTTCATTGGAGATACTGCAATTGTTGCTAAAGCATGGAGCAACAATGGATGTCGATTATTATGGTATGACGCCCCTTTTAGCAGCGAGTGTAACTGGGCATTTGCCAATTGTAGAGCATCTTATTACTTTACCTTGTGTCAGTCAAAAAAGCCGAATTGACGCTTTGGAACTGTTGGGTGCAACATATGTAGATAAAAAACGTGATATGGTCAGTGCTTTGTCTTTGTGGCGACGGGCTATGGAGGACCGAAACCAGGAGCCGAAAATTCCTAAAGTTATCAATGAGCCTATTGCTGCATACGAATACGTGTCGGAAGTGGCAACAATAGAAGGACTCGATGAGCTAGTTCTGGATCCTGATGAAATGCGGATGCAGGCTCTGGTTATACGACAAAGGATTTTGGGACCCACGCATCCCGACACCAGCTATTACATTCGATTCAGGTAACAATGATACAATGTTGAATATCTTCATGTTGAATTATGCAAATTTCCATTAATTTATCATTTAGAGGTGCGCATTATGCGGATGCAGGACGCTTTGATCGTTGCATTGAATTGTGGACGTATGCTTTGACGATGCAGCAGAAAATTCTTCAGCCTCTTAGTCCTATGACTCAATCGTCCTTATTATCTTTTGCTGAACTATTTAGTTTTATGTTGGTTGAAGCTGGCCGTTTGTTACCCCGTGGCCGGATTGTACCTCCAATTGCAGCTGCAGATATGTTGATGATATTCAATAAAGCTGTTTTAGAGGTGGAGCGAGGTATTTTAGTTGATTAAATAAAAATAGTTTATCTTTTTGGGAAACAATTTCACTTATCCTTTTAGGCCTTGAATGGACTTTAGAACATGAAAAAAATCCCGCTGCACTATCTTCTATACATGATTGTAATCATGATCCGAATGCATTAAGTCGCGCTTTAGTAAGTGCTTTACATATAGGATGTTTATTGGCATCACTTGAAGAAGACGGAAACTTCTGTCCAAATATGCGGAAAGAAATCTTATATTCATTATATAAGCTAAATCGGCTAAAAGTATGTGTTCGATCAGGTCGATCTGCGCTGCACTATGCATGCTATCGAGAAGGAACTCTTGTTGGCCGCTATCCTGCTTGCAAATTTCCGTCACCAGCGTTGGCGAAAGCTCTGCTCGAAGTTGGAGCTGACCCGAATGCCAGAGATGATGATGGAAATACACCACTCCATTTGGCAGCAACCGCGCAACTATGCCCAAGAGCGTTAACGAAAGTCCTCCTAAAATATGGCGCTCATTTGGTAAGTTAAGGTAACTAAACAGCCTTACCTAATATATACGCAGGCTGACAATTACTTAAGTATAAAAAGTAAATCCACATATCCATGAAATTGCAATGCGTTTATATTAGTTGGGCTGTAGATGTTAGATTAAAAAAAATAATATTTTTTAATGCAGGATGTCAAAAACAATGCCGGTGAAACATTCGAAACACTACTGAAACCTGGAAAAATACACGAAATTATAAACCCGTTAAAATACACAACTTTGGCATGTTTGGCTTCGCGGACAATACAAAAGCATCGAATTAAATATCTTAACATCGTACCTCCATCGCTTTACACATTTATTGAAATGCATTAAATGGTGAATAGTAAGTGCAGCGTAAATAAGTAACATAGACAACTGTCCAGCGCAGGGCAAAACAGGCAAATGATCGCAGCTATGAATATCTTTGTGATTAATGCGCGTTTAAATGTTTTATTGAGTTGTATTTTTGTGTATATTTTAAAAATTTGCGCACGGAGTTATTTAAATTGTTTAAGCTAACATTGAAGCCGTTCTTTATATGTGTGGCATGCATTGACTAATATTATTTGAAACAACTCGCAACGCCTAAAATGCGTTAAACATTTAATTATACTGCGTAAGAGAATAAAAAGTAGCGAAACTTGGAAAGCCGTATCGTATAGTACATGGTTTGAAACTTGTCAAGCGATGGAAACTGCATACTCGAAATTTCATGACTTGGTTCGTGGCAGTCGTGAACGAGCAGGTCGCCACGTACGTGTAAAAATGGATATTTATAAAAGACTTGAACGCCCTGCTCATTTCGTATTTTGGTATGATAACATTCGTGAACAAATGAAGAAAGTACTCTGTTATTCGAACGACCATTCGAGCTCAAAATTTCAATCGAATGCGTGGAAATTCGGAAACGATTTCAGGCAATTGGAGAGAATTACGTAATCTAAATTCCTTAGCCTCTCTAAATCTCTAACACTCTAAACTTTTACCAGAAATTATATCTAAAGAAAATAAGTTCTCAGTTGCAAAAAATGGCACACAGTTAAAAATCGTCCTTAACACAGTCGAGGGAAAAAAATTGTTTAGGTAAACATTTAAAGGAGTTAACTTCTATTGTTGACGTGCACTCAATTAAGGCTGTAAATCATATAATCACATTTAAAAAAGTATGCATACATATGTATGTATGCTATGAGTTCGCAGGATATTACACAAGTTTTGCTTTTTTACCTTTTTCAATTTAAGTGAAAACACTTCATTTGTTATAAAAAATAAATAAATGAAATTTGGTACATATACGTGCTTGGCCGAGCTTCTTCCCCAGTTTGTGGTGTGTGTCTTGATTTTGTCACACCGTTTTTTACTGCCTCAGAATGACAGATGGTTTCTATAAGAAGCGTTTTCCTGGCAGAAGTACACTCGGAAGTTTGCTATTGCCTGACGAAGGGCAACCGCTATTCGACATAGGATTATTTCGCTGGACACAACGAGTGGCAGTGCGCACCTCTAACAACTCGACCTCGGTAACCACCAATCGATTCCCTATCTATATACAGCCTTATTCTGTATCACGAACGATTCGTCTGCAGACGACAACATCCGTGATTGCGATTTTATTACTCTATCGGTTGTCTTCGTCTTGCTTTTCATATATTACGTTGCAATGGTCTCGGTTGCGTTTAAACCGGCTAGAATGATGCCGCCGGACTAAGTTTTGAAGCATTCCTCTGCAGACGAATCGTTCATGTTGCCTATCGTTCTTGATACAGTATAAGGCTGATAGTTCCTAAAAATAGTGGAGTTATTCGCATACAAGCTATAAAAAATTCACTTCTCCTTAGTTTCAATTTGAGATTATATTCATTATAACGACATCATGTTATGCCTTGATATCCTAAGTCTGGGTTAGGTCACATTGAATGACACTTGCAATATTAAATTAAAAACTGGCTTTCATACATATCATTGTAATTAACAAATTGAAGCAAAAATGAGAATATACCAAACGTATAGCTTGCAGCAAAAGCAAAAAAACAAACAAACTGTAAGCAAAAGAAAAAGATGTAATGTCTCTTTTCGCTTTTGCTGCCTGCTTTGACTGATTTATTTTCGGAGATAAGCAATGGGTCGCTTGGCGCGCAATACCTCGTATCCGCCAAATGCAGAACCGCGTATAAGATAGATGGTCCGAAAATTTCACAAAAGAGCGAAGAAACTATTTTTTCAAAACTTTTGGAATGGTTTCCTAACTAAACTTACTAAGTTTGAGCTTCTATTATAATTATGCACTATTAAATTTGTGATGTAGGGAAGCATTGGGAAAGGGTAACCAAAATCATTTTATTCTCTGCCCTCATACGTGGTATTGCATCTTGCGGATACGAGGTATTGCACGCCAAGCGACGAATTACAAATGCATTGAAAAAAGTCAAGCAATTTCAAACCCTGCTCTAAAATCTCCCCTGGATACACTTTTCTGGAAGTTTAGAACCTTTCTCGAAGAAATTGATCTAAAACGAGAACGAATGATTCCTCAATTGTGAAAACTTTCTCATCAATAAAAAACAAATGTCGGAGACCATTCTCCTAGCACTGTCCGCAGGTTTTTACTTTAATATTTCTATAAATGCCTGGTGCATCTCCTTTAAAATCTGTTAAAATTTGTTTTTTACTGTTTAGTTCGTCTATTAAAACGTCGTATATTCAACAGTTCTTTTTTTGATTTAGTTTCTCCTTAGCACCCGCAGAGGTGTAGTGGCAAGCAGTGCGCTCTTCCACTCCGCAGGGCCTGGGTTCAAGCCCTGGTCAAAGCAACATCGAAAAAAAAATAAAGAAAAAAGGTTTTTTCTTAACAGCGGTCGACCCTCGGCAGGCAAGAGCAAGCCTCAGTGTGTATTTCTGCCATGAAAAGCAGCTTCTCATAAAAATACAGTCCCTCAGGCAAACACTAAGCGTAAGTGTAAGCGCCAATCTGTTATTATTATTATTATTTTATCCTTTATTAAAGTCTTTACTGAAAATTCTTCACATTTCTCATGTATAAGAAAATGCGTTTTATTAACGATATGTGAAAATGTTATCTTTTATAAGCAGGAGGATAATCTCGCAGAATAAAAACGTTTACAGTTGACATCAATATGGTGCATATTTTTAGGCGCTGTAAAAGTCATGTGGATATTGAACACAGCGCTATTCAACGCATATTAGATGCGATAAGTATGAAATTGAAATCGTCTATATCTTTTATAAATATCGATAAAACCAACAGACTGTCAAATATTGCATGCGAAGCCATCGGCCTCTGAGCTATATTTAAAGTTTCAAGTCTCTAGAACCTGAATGGTTGATACGATAAACTTAGATTTTTTTTGCTAGTGGCCAATTCTTTTTGAGTGCCTTACGGCTTATCTCAAGGAATGTAAAACTCGATTTGCAGGTCTCGGGGAGGGTTGAGAAATCGCTGCAATAGAAGAAAACAATAAAATCAGGGACGAGAACCGGTTTTAACCGAAAACCGCTTTTTTCTATTAATTAACTGAACCATCAACCGAACCGAAATTGTCCACAAATGCTTGATCCGCACCGAAAACCGAACCATTTTTCGCAAAGGTTTCAAAGTTCGTTTCAACAAATTTTGAATCGAATTTTTTCTTTTTGCTAAATATGGTAATACATACCATGTTTTTTTACCATGTGACATTGTCAAATGTAAAGGCAACCCATCTCATTTGACAAATACTTGACACTTAATCTTGAGCGCTCAAGGCGCATCTATAAAAGGTGGTGTTACTTGAACAGCTGATATGATATTTTTGACTACACTAGTACAGCAGAATGTCATCCAATGCGATATGGTGTAACTTCCTATTTGGGACTTTTAGTTATATGCAATTGCTACCTCCTTATATGAATGCGCCTTGCGCGCGTTGTTTCATTTGACACTTTTACCTTCCGAACCGAACCGAAACCTCGGTTCAAAGACCAAAAAACCAGCTATGGCGGACCAGGCGCAAGGCGCAAAAACGGTTCGAACCGCTGAGTCTAACCGACAACATTTTTTAACCGGTTGACGTCCCTGATTAAAAGCAAACAAAGCAAATACTTGCAAGGTAAACGTTCCCAAACCGAATGTTACATTATCATAGCAATCGAACTTCAGTTGCGTTGCTAGTTGCCAAGACGATACTACAGATGGCAACTGGCAACTTTCAACTGACAACTGCAGTTGCTACAAAGTGTGTATACAAGCGACTACATTTTTGTGGTTGCTGGGAATGTTTTTGAAGCGTATTTAGGAGCGAAAATTAAAAGGTGTATCATATATTTTACTTTTTAATAATTTGAACGATTTTAACATTTTGCAATGCAGTTTGCTTTTACAGAATATGGTGAAAATAACAAAACAATAACTTGAAATTTTAGTTCCTGTGGAGTTACGCCCTTTTGGCGAAACAAAAGCGAACACTGATTGCAAATTTCTTCCTCTATTAACTGAAGCACCTCTTTTAAAACTACCGACCCACCAAGTTTTCCAAATTGACGCCATTGCTGTAGCACTTCCTTCTGAAAAAAATCGAAGAGGTACGCAAGATTTTATGAGCGGAGGTATTGAAGTTGAACTAATTATACTACAGCTTCTTTTGGAAGTCCTCAATATGCTTTGGAAATGGATACAAAACGATATTAAAAGAAAAACCTTGAAAGCATTAACTTTTGCTTACAGTGCACGCGGTAGCTCTGGAGGATTGGAATTATCCTTTAAATGTCGTCTGATTGAGGCCGCGTTCATGCACTTCTCTTCCTCTTGAACAAATAGGCTGACTTCCAAAACGTTAATTGCTTTGCATACGCACAAAGTATAATGTTCCATAACGTCGAACTACAAAATATTGACAATGTATACTGTTCCAAAACGCAGCAGTAAAGTTATCGAAACGCATCGCTAGAGCAATCACTGCATCAGAAACAAAGTTGATGCTTTGTTTGTTATTGGTTAGCATTGGTGTTTTAGAAATGGAAAACTCAGAAAAATTGTTCATTGTTATATTGAGTATTTAAAATATGCAATGTTTATGGTTGCAATGTGTCGCAACTCTGCACATACAAATAGTTTCTCTGCAGTGAAACAAAATATATTTTTAATTGGACAAATCGTGAAATTATGACGAAAAATAGTATGAATCCCATGAGTTTTTTGGAATGTATTTGAAATTTCGGATATACTGTTACTTATTGCTCGACAAGACGGCTGCTTTTACGCCGTGGTATTAGTAAACGACTATCTCGGAATAAAGAAAACGTTATTCACAAATTAATGTACATAAGGAGACTGCAAGGCACAAACTGAACGATTTTTGGTTTTATCAAGAAGCGTTTAAGCAAAAAGTGCACCGCTAATCTTATTAAAATAAATAAATTTGTGTGCATATTAAAAACATATACTAAAGAAAAGTAATCCGCTAGCATAAATATAAGCGTAACGAAATAGTATGAATTTTTACCAAAATAATTTTCGCATCTATTGTATATGTTTTCGTTGTTCAA